ATATATATATATAGACACACACACACACACACATACTTCTCTGAAAAATGTGTAATTAAATAAGCTTTAATCAAAAATAATATTGATTCTTAGGGTCCCCCTGGAGAGGTAGTTGAAGGTTTACCTGGACCACCAGGTCCACCCGGTATAGGTAGACCAGGGCCTCCAGGTCCACCAGGACCCCCAGGTTTATCTTACAATTCCCGATGGTTGCGGAATCCTGATAGTATAGGAGGAAGAGGTAAATATTTCAAGTAAATAATTTTTTGTTTTAGTTTTTGATAATGTGCTTCTTTAATAAGGTTTCCTTCATATTTTTTAATGAAACTGACCTTTAGTACATCTTATCTTATAATTATTTTGTATGGTTACTTTCTTAAGGTGATGTTTTCTATGGACAGACCTTTTGTCATTTCATTACTTTAGGTTTTATTTTTTTTTAACTATAATGCAGCATTTACTGGTGTCATTATCTAAAGAGAGTTATTAAACTTTGATATTGTTTAACGTACATTGTTGTCTATCTGCAAGCTTACAGAAGGAAACGAGCTTTTCAAACTGAAGGTGAGGACTGTGTTTCACCATATTTACCAAATTGTTCAGTTGTTTGTTGATAAAAATAAGTTACACAAAGGTCTGTGTAAATCATTTATTTAGACGGAACTTTTTGTGGAAATCTACACAGTTTAATCTGTATCATATTTTTATGCATTTGTAGATAATTTGTTACATACATTTCAAAATATCTTAAATAACTTTCACCAAAATAAATACTATGTTTTAACTACAATATCAAGATCTTACCTTGGACATTTACTCTCTTACACTTACCATAAAAGGAGTTCCTTCAAGTGCACTCAGTATCCAAGAGTTCATTGTATTGTCAAATTACTTCTGCAAGATACACTTTTAATACACAAACACAAGCTTTGAATAGAGAATTATTTGTGTATGTTCTTTAAAGAAGATTTCATTTTCTTTCAATGATTTCTTTTGTGAAATTTCAAATTTGGTTGCAAGAAAGAGTCTGTAACATCAATAAAACAGCTCTTTACAATTTTTAATTCCATAAAGATGGAATTATATAGTGCAATGTTAAAACATTTATACTTGTACATTTATTCTAAATTATCTCTTACAGGATTTTACTATAATCAAGGTCCACCAGGTCCTCCTGGTCCACCAGGACCACCTGGTCGTCCTGGCTCAACTCCAAAAGTGGATGATTTAGATTTATCAACCATAGTATCTGGGGTAAGTTTCATACAAATATTGAAGAAATTGTACATTTACAGTATATTTCCAAAATGACAGATAAAAGAATATTTTTGGAAGTCCTAAGAAATGGGATCAGAAATATAATGAGCACTATGGGTACGTATCTCATCATAGTAGTCTATACGATACATATCTAGATACAAAAGTTTAACCAAGGGTTTGTTATAAAGTTTGAAAGTCTTGCCTGTAATTTATTATCTATATGTTACTAACACTGTCTTATTTAAGTACCTTACACTTTAAAGTGCTTTTTCAAATTCTCAGGTTTGATCAACTAAATGGCAGCTGGCAAGAAAAGTAAAATAAAATAAAAAGTTAAAATATCAGTCTAGCTATTTTGTTATTCTTAATTTGTAATGTTACTTATTTTTTTGATAAAAGAAATGAAGACAACATGTATTACTCAATACTTATCTTCCTTTATTGAATCATTAATTTTTAGCAAATTTACTTTATTAGAAATTCTGTATTTTTTTTTTTGTAGAAAAGACTTATAATGTTTACTGAAAGCTTGCCAAATTTTGTGAAGGTACATACATCGTATTGGATGATGTATCAATACAATACAATACTCGTATTGTATTGCTGTATCGCCACACCTTTAATGAGTACAATATGTCACACCCTATATAACATGCAAGAGCAAGTAAAATGCTGAATAGCTATTTGCATGGCCTGCAATGGATAAAAGGTGTCATAAGTTGTAGTTTGTTTCTTTGGGAAGTTAAGTTGTAAATAAGTATATATGGGGGTTTTTAATTAATTATGAAACACAAGAATTACAAGTGGTGTATCTAGTTAAACATCTAAACCTTCTACTTTTAGCTGCCTTTGTAAAGGTCTATAGGATTTTAAAAATATGTTTTTAAATATAGTGTTGCATGTTAAACTAAACATTTTATTCTTTTGTCAGGATTAAATCTTGGTTGTTAGGGTGTTCATCTTGCAACCTGTGTGTCATGGGTTCAAATCCTGGCCCCAAACATGCTCATGCTTTCAGCCATGGAGACATTATAATGTAATGGTCAATCCCAATTTTCTTTTCCAACAGTTAGTGGTGGGTGATGTTGACTAGTTGCCTTCATTATTGTTTGTCACCCCTAAATCAGAGATGGCTAATGCAATTAGCACAGGATAGCTTTGTACAAAATTTAACAAACAAACAACAGTTTCAATCAAGTACAGCTATGACTAACTGTTTTGAAAGACTAGAATTATCTAATGTTGCTTCATAAAATTGAATGAAATCTGCTGAATAATGGTATGTATAAAGCTTGTACAAAGAAATCTAAAGGGTAACTCATCCCTTCAAGCATCTCATTGCTTAAGAGGGTTAAGAAAGTCTTAAACTCAAGGAATGCACTGCAAAAATACTGAGGACCACTATTATAGCTTCCAGTAGACTTTTTACTTTTTGCAGTATCTTTGATTAAATGATGTTAAATAAAAGATCTAAATTGTGTTTGTATAATTTTTTTAGTTACGTCTTGTTTCTACAATTCTGGAGTGGTGTAGAAATTTTGTCCATGGTAATAATTGCTTTGCCTTACAACTTTAACAGAGAGTTGCTACATAATTAGAATTCAATTTACAAAGTTTGGTTCCAGGGAACAAGAAGATAGATTTAGTACTGGATTCTGTCGTGGATTTCTCATTCATTATCTTCCCTTTTAGGCTGTAACATTCAGTCACCAGGAGCTGTTGTTAGAAGCAGCCCACAAGAGTCCAAGAGGAACTCTAGCATTTCTTTTGGATGAAGATGCTCTGTTGGTAAAAGTGACACAAGGTTGGCAGTATATTGGAGTAAGTATTTTAGATTATTTTCTTTATGTAATAAAATTTCTAAAGATAATTTATTTGGTAGGAGTCACTTTACTTTAGTGAGTTACTGTATATTACTTATTATTCATGTGGAATTAACTTTCACTATTTTCCCAATAAGTACTTTCCACGAATGATAGTTCCAGCAAAATAAAAAGCCTTTATTAGTGATAAGTGAAACCCTTAACAGATATATATATATACGAGCAAATATTATTTATTCTTTAGCACATTCACGAAGCACAGCACTATGTACATGACGTGTGAATCGATTACAAAACAATAAATCTTTTTACACACAACGATCAATGAGAACATACAAATGATAATCACTGTAAACCTGCTTCAATAAAACTTGATTGGATCAGTTCACATTAAGTTCATTGCTTTCAGGAGGTGGTAGGATTACCAACACAGAAATTTCAAAACCATTGTTGTGTTTTATCCTCTTACAGTTTTG